ATAATGACCCACCTAGGAGCTGAGAATGAGTGAATCCTGATACTTTAGGGTCACATATGAAAATATGCCCTCAGGAAAGCTCTGTTGAGAGACAGTAGCTACCAGGCCTGGAACAAAGGCCAACTGTACATGAGATGAGAACTGACCTCTGGTCTCAGCTCATGTCCTAACTCAACCACAAGGCCTCTCTCATCTTTCTGGCCTTTTGGGGGCCTCAGACTCCCAGTTTTCCATAGACAACAACCCTTCAGTTCCCATGAGGTTATGGCCACAGTTTAAAACCCATGAAAGGTAGGTGTGAATCCTCCCTCTCCCTCTTTATAGCTGTGTGATCTTAGAGAAGTCACTCCACCTCTCTGAGCTCCATTGTAGGCAGCTATAGAGAAGGAAGATTTGTCCCATTGGGTGGGGTTCCTTCAGATGATGCCTATGGACCAAATACCTTAAACATGGAGAAGGGCACCAAAGTAGAAGATAAATACTTGCAAGTTTCTTTGCATAGCAAGCTTGACCACATCTCTTTTTTAGCCAGAACTTGATTTCTAGACCTCCATAGTTGAGCAATGTGAGAAGGACAGAACAAGTGAGAGGTAGCAGATGATTAAGGATATCCACCCACAGGAATACAACCAATAATTGAGAGCTCTGAAGAGCCATCTAAAAAGGAGTCAGTGAAAAGCTATCAGAATCTCATATTATTCTAATACTGAGTAGAGAAGTATCACCATACAATTTTAAAGCTTTTGTAACTCCCCCAGATTTATAATTTTGTCACTCATTAGCTATTTCCCTCGTGTAATCAGCAGTTTTAGAAACACACAGAAAACTGTACTTATAAGGAACAGCGAGTCAGCTGGGAGCTTTTGGAAGTGGCCTCTTGTTACCTTACTGGTCGGGCCTAACAATGAGGGTGTATGAGTGGGAATAGCAGCAGAAATGTGCAGGAAAAGACAAAGGAATCCATCACAGTGCCTGTCATTTACTAGTGAGGAATTATGGATTAGGTATTTTTTTCTCATCTATTTCCTTACTTAAGAGTCCTGCAAAATAAGTACTACTATTAGTTCAATTTTATAGTTTGAAGGCACTGAGATTTAGAAAAAGAAGAACAAGTCACTCACCTGATATTCTATAAGGGCGGGGAGGACCAACAGGAAACAGCAGAGCTGTGATGTAACCCTGAGCCTTTCCCACTCCCCAATAGCGTGCTTTTGACCCCTACCCAATGCTGCCCAGGAGTTTGTGAAAGGAAAGGACCAGAAAGAAAGGATCTTGGATGTTACTGAGGCAGTAAAAGTGAGTCTGAGACATAATCAACAGAGGACTTAATCACAGGCCACCTGGTCTTACTTAGGAAGTGACCTAGTCTTGTGTCTCTACTCACCCTGGTTTCAGAGTCCCTACAGCACAGAGACTGGATATTTAGGGAGCAATTTAAAACCCTTTTATGAATCCTCAGGCTAGAAGGAACGACTTAAATTCCCATATACCTGGAGGAGTAAGAATTTATATCCCCCTAACAGACTCCCTTTAGCTGCAGAAAGAGCTTACGAGGGCTTTTACTGTTTGTGTTATTGCTGTTCATGTTTCTAACTGTGTGATCTAGGACAAACTACCCCACATCTCTGAATTTCATTCTAGGTGGCCATAGAATGGAGGTGAGAAATTGCCTTTGTGGGTAATGCTAATTTTGCCAAGATCCTCATTAAGAGGTTACTCCAGCCCTCAATCATAAAAGAAGCCTTATCATCCAAAAAAGTACATGAAGAAATGAAGAGGGAATTGGGGCTATTTTGTCAGGGAAAGAAAAAGCCCCAGAGACATGCAGGCCCTGTGAAATGGGTTGAAGGCCTTTTCATGTAAATGAAGAAGTCGTCTTATTCTCTAAAAGCCTCCAAGCGGACATCAGTGGAAGCAGAGAGCATGGGTCAGAGTGGAGTCAGAGCAGACATGGGCCAAATCTAGGTCTGTCATTTCCCGGACAATTTATATAACCATCAATTCTTAAATGGAGGTAATGAGGTATCTCTCTCGTGGGCTTTTGTGAAAAATTAAATGAGATTATGAGTAGTGTTAAAAGAAAGAAAGATGTGTGTAGGTGTAAGCTTCTCTAAGAAACTCTCTGACCCTCTGCATGTGTGTTTTTCCTTACTGTGTAAAACCAGGGTAATAGCTGTACCTGACTAGAAGATCATTGTGAGATTTGAGTGATAAAATGCATGGTAAAAACCCTTAGTATAGCCTCTAACTCATAGCTAAGTCCTTAGTCCTAAGGTAATAATTATTATAAATGTTTTGTTACCAAAACTAGTGGGAAGAGAGAATGGTAAATGAAGAATCTGACCCTTAATTTCAGACTGGAAAACAAGGTAAATAATAATAATAATAATAATAATAATAATAATATCTAACAGCATGTAATCAGAGCTAGACTTCCTGGATCTGGTACCTGAGAGCTTTGTGGCCTTGTGAAATAGGGAACATGAGCACCTGCTAAAGAGGGATTGGATGGAGTGGCTCATAAGAAGAGCGTGGCCAGCACATGGTATGTACTCAATAAGCTCTGGTTTGCTCTATGAGCAGAGACTGACAGATGTTCTCATAACAAGCTCCTCTTCAGCAGCGCAGCCCCTGCAGGTCAGAGCAAGTATTCTCTCTCTCTCCGGGAGTGTAACAAGGAGGAGCGAATAGAAATTACCAGGAATGTTACAGAAAAGGTAAAATACCAGATGGCCTCTTGTTCCCAAGCCAGTGTAAAATAGTCCAAGATTTAAATGAAACAAAAGATGACATTTTGAAAACTGCAATTCCTTGCCCACCCTTTGTCACTTTTCTGGTTGCTACCTTCTCTTCTGATAGAAAACAGCTCCCACCCTAAGCTGGTCCCATGGACAAAGAAGGTTTGACTCTCTGGGACCTAATTTCCCTCGAATGAGCACATCGAGTCCAGGTTTTCTGTCTTCCCCTGGCATGAGTAAGTACAGGTGAGAGCTTTCCCACAGGAGATCACCCTTGCATTTCATCCTGATTTATAATCTTCCTTCAAAACCTGTGCCACTTCACTCACTCTTATCTGTCCCCTCCACTCCTATCTTCTGATCCTCAATGAGTGCACCATGCTGCCTCCTTCAGAGTTAAAGGGAAGGCTATTTTCTGGCTTGTAAACATATAGAAAGACACTCAAACACTGTTAATCAGAACAACAAAAGAACGAGATGACTTTTTCTTCTCAGAGGTAGGGAGGATACGGGAAAGCAGATATTCCTTGGGCAAGAAAACAAATCAGCACAGCCTTTCCAGAGGACAATTTTGTAAGAACTATTAAACTCACAAGTGCACATTTCTTGCAGTCTAGCATTTCTCCTTCTTGGTCACTTCCCTAGCTAGAGAACCACTTGCAGAAATGCTTAAGGGGACACACACCCAAGGCTGTTCACTGCAGACTGTTCACAATGATGAAACATTGGAACAACCAAAATGCCCTCATAGGGCAACGGATACTAGAACTTTCTATAGAATGAAATACTATACAGCAATTTAGCATAATGATGCAGCTCTACGTGGACAGAGGAAGAAAGTGATCTAATATATATAATGTGAGGTGAATAAAATAAAATGCAGAAGACTGCACACAGTATAATAGCATTTTAAAAATCCACACACAAAGCAAACTATAATTATATATCTCTACATATAGGTAACAGAAAAGAAAAAGATCTAGAATTATCACCTTCAGGAGGGGCTGGGATTAAAGAGAGGAAGTCAAAGAGAGGTTGTGTGTGTGTGTGTGTGTGTGTGTGTGTAGGGAATGGTGGTATGTGTTAGTTTTCCAGGACTATCATAACAAATACCTCAGACTGAGGTTTATTTCTATCCTTTTTTTGTATCCCTCACAAAACGCATTGCTGTAATATTTGCATAATCTTTTATAAGTTATTAGCATTTTGAATAAATGGGTGATTCTCCCAGGAGCATTCCTAGCTTCACGTCAGTGGTGGCTGAGGAAGCGATTCAGAAATGAGGCAGAACAGGAAAGAAGCCAGCACTGATGCTTCTAGCAAGTTTCACTTTCATCCTCACTTGCAGGAGGATGTAGGATGCGACCACAGTGGAATCAAAATAGCTCAGACCCAAGACAAGCAGGCAGCAGACAGATTGTTCCCACGGCCAAAGACAAAACCACTCATAGGAGCACAGCCCCTTACCCCTTGGCTGAGAAAAAAATCGCTGAGTCACTCATTTCCCAGTGACATGAGTGTTGTCTTGAGTGTTGACTGGAAAACCCAAGGTTTTAAAAGATAAGATGAACTTAGGGAAATGCTTATCTTTCTATTTGGGGTGTCCCTCTGTCTTCTAAACTGAGTTCTGTCATTGAAAAAAAAATAATCTTATATGACTGGTATCCTATAAAAAGAGGAGATTAGGCCCAGCCCGTGTGAGTCAGTGGTTGAGCACTGACCCAAGAATCACTAGGTCATGGTTTTATTCTCAGTCAGGTCACATGCCCAGGTTGTGGGCTCCATCCCCAGTAAGGGGCATGCAAGAGACAGCCGATCAATGATACTCTCTCATCATTGATGTTTCTATCTCTTTCCCTTTCCCTTCCTTTCTCTGAAATAAATTTTTAAAAATATTTTTTAAAAAGAAAAAACTAGAATATTGACACACACAGGGAAAAGACCATGAGATGACATACTGCGAAGGTGAATATCTATCTATAAGCTAAGGATAGAGGCCTCAGAAAAAAATCAATCCTGCTGACACCTTGATCTCAGACTTCTAGCTTTCAGAATATAAGAAAATAAACCTCTCTTGTTTAAGCCATCAGTATGAGGTATTTGTTATGATATTCCTGGAAAACTAACACATACCACCATTCCCTACACACACACACACACACACACACACACACATCTCTGCACTGCTCATTCAGTAGAAGAAACCCATTCCATATACATGTGATCAGCAGAATGGAAAGAATGATCAATTGTGCCAGGTACCTGTAGTGAGGGTGGATCCTTCGGTGGAAGGCTCAGTGGTCAGGAGAACTGTGGTTGCCGCAGGAAGGGAGGTTGGTGTTGTCCATGGGCACGTGGTTGTCATTGTTGTGAGGGCAGTGGTGGTTCTTGTCTGAAGTGGTGTTCCGGTTGTAAGGTCAGGTGTAGTCATGACTGTCGTTGGAAGCACAGCTGTGGTTGTTGGCATAGCAGTGGTGGTGGTGGTAGTGGTAGTGGTGGGGGTGGTGGTGGTGGTGGTGGTGGTGGTGGTTGTTGGGCGTCGGGTGGTTGTTGGGGCTGTAACCAACAGGAGATATCTTTGATAGCAAGTGGAGATGGAGGAAAAAGGAAACAATACGAATATATCTGAGACCCTTCCATTTCCCCCCGTTTCTACTGCCTTCACATACTGTCCTGGACCATTGTAATGTCCATAAAAATTGTTGTTTTTTGCCACTAGTCTCAGCCTTTCCAATTTGTTTTTCACACATTGGTTCAAGTAATCTTTTAAAATGACAAATCTAATTATGTCAGTTCCCGGCTTAACACCTTTTACTGGGTCTTCCTTGCCTGTAAGCTAAAAAGCCTAGCCCACAATCTTGGCTGCAAGGTTCCATCAGATCTAGCCTTGTTTTTCCTTCCAATCTTATGTCTCCACTTCACTCTCCTTCTTTCCCAGCTCATTGGCCTTTCTTCAGTTCTTTGAACATATTAGTGGCCTTCTGGCTGGAAGAACTTTATACCTGCTGCTTCCTAGTCTCTCTCTTCGTGAGGCTAACTCCTTAACCTTCTTTCTCAGCTACATGGACACTTCTGCAAAGAGGTCATCTGTGTTATGTAATAACAATGTTTTTGCACTCTCATATTTTACCTTCACTGCATTTAATGCATTTCATAATTATACATTTGTTTGATCATTGTTATTTAACTAGAGGCCCGGTGCACAAAATTCATGCATGGGAGGGAGTCCCTCAGCCCAGTCTGCTCCTTCTCCCAGTCCAGGAGCTCTCAGGGGATGTCCTACTGATGGCTTAGACCTGCTCCCCATGGGTAACAGGCCTAAGCCACAGTCTTTCCTCCCTCTGCAGGAAGTAACTGGGCTGATCAGGGGAAGGCACCACCCCCATCACTCCACTGCTGCTGCCACTGCCTGCCACTGCAGCCACCAAGGTGTTTTGTGATCCCTTCACCACAAAAAAAAAAAAAAAAAAAAAAAAAAAAAAAAAAAAAAAGGACAACTTTCTTTAGGCATTTTCAAGATGTCTCTTTCATAGGATATGACTTTTTTTTTTATCCTCACAGGAGGATATCTTCCCATTGATTTTTAGAGAGCATGGAAGAGAGAGAGAAAGACAGAGAGAAACATCAATATGAGAGGCACACTTCAAACAGGTTACCTCCTGCATGAGCCCTGACCTGGGTCCTGGCCAGGGAGGAGCCTGAAATCTACGATAGATACATGCCCTTGATCAGAATCAAACCTGGCCTCCCTGCGGGTTTGTGTCTCTGCTCCAACCCCAGCGCCAGTGCCAGGCTGCACAGCTGGGCCAGCCCTCCTGCATGTTGTTCTCTCAGGCCCTGGGCCCTCACCAGATCCCTCCTCCTAAGTTGGTCATGACCTTTATGGTGTCCTGGCCTAATTTGCATATTAACACACTCTCTCTCTCTCTCTCTCTCTCTCTCTCTATATATATATATATATATATATATATATATATTTCTCCAACTAGCTGGTAAGCTCCATGAGCACATATAGATGTTCCATAAATATCCATGGGTAAATGAATGACTGATCAAAAGTGAGCTCAAATATAAAATTTCAGTCAAGCAAGATGAAAAAACTCTGAAGATCTATACAACATTGTGCCTATCATTAACTCACATTAGGTGTTCTTTCCACAATAAAATAAAATAAACATCTAAAAAAACTGAGTCCAAAGTATGGTGAGGTGCAGTTTCTTTTGGATACTAAAGATTGGTTCGTAACCAGCACCACTCATCCCCTAAACGTTGAATTTGGGTTCATTAGCTACAATTATTCTACAGATACCACCTTCTTAAATATGCCAAATTTCCATGAACTCTAATGGCCTGAAAGACATCATTAGTTTCAAGAGAATATAGACATGACCCCACAGAGTATGGAGGTCAAACAAATATTTTATAAAACAATAGCTGGCTATACCAGGCTTGACAAGAACAGATTTGGATAGGCATCATTTAGTTCAATAAATCAGAATAGTTATTTTGAGAAAATATGCTCATGTGTAAGGAAGTGCTTTAACTAGAAGCATCCACATTAGTTGTTCTCTAATTTTAAAATGTATTACAATAAACTAACAAACAAAATAGAAACACCCTCATAGATACATAAAACAAACTGACAGCTGTCAGGAGATTGGGGGAGTGAGTGAAAAGGTGACAGGGTTAAGCAAAAACAAACAAAACAAAACAAAAACCTGATACAGTATGGGGACTACCAGAGGGAAAGGGGGTGAGGGAGGTAGAAGAGAGTGCAGAAGGGATAAATGGTGATGGAAGGAGACTCGACTTGGGTTAGTGGACACATAATACAATATACAGATGATGCATTACACAATTGTATACCTGAAAGCTATATAATTTATTAACCAATGTTACCCTAATAAGTTAATAAATATTAAAAATAATAAAATAAAGTACATTAGAGTCAGCAGAGGAGCTTGTTAAGCATATTAATATACAGACCCTGCCTTCCAAGATGCCCTTCAGTTAGGAACAGAGTGCCACATTCCCCCATCCATAATGAGAGCTGAACCCAGGGCTTACTTTACAAGGCTCCATTCCAGACAAGCAGGAAAGGTTGTTATTGTTAGCATCATTTAGCCACAGACTGCCCTCCATGCAGCTCAAATCTTTGTTTTTGTTAATCCTCGCTGGAGGATATTTTCCCATTGATTTTTAGAGAGTGGAGGGAGGAGCAAGAAGGAGAGAGAGGGGAAAAAATCAATGTGAAAACGCCATATCAATTGTTTGCCTCTTTGCAGATCAAAGCTTTAGGAGTTCCACCTTATTCCAAACTTCACCAAAAGCAGCATAGTAAACAGAAGGAAAAACATGCCTGAGAATGGCCCTGAGCGTCCCCACATCACATGCCATTTCCCCGCTGCCAGAGGCTGCAAACTACTGGCTGATGGGCTGAAGCTGACCCCCAGGCACACTTTATTTAGCTTACCCAGTAAGCTAAATTTTGAAATCTTTGCCAACATGCAAAAGTCAGTTTATCTTACATGAAAATTGAAACATCGGTAAACAGTGGGTGACAATCCCAAAGAAAAAAAAGCAGCTGCCTTCTTCAGATTGATGCTGAAGTTTCCTTCCCCACCCACCACCCTCCACTCATTTCTGTGGCTTTCTTGGCACCCCAGGGCCTTGCCGCACACCATGGCCCCTCTAGTCAGAGCAGCACACCTGAGATGTACTCGGTCCGCTCACGGCTTAAGGAGGCAAGGCCTCTCTACCACTGAACCCATCACCCATTAACCGCCAAATCTCTCCTTCCACAGGCACAACCCCTTCCTGTGCTCACCTCTTGTTATCCTCAGGACAATGTTCTTCTTGACATCATTGAACCAGCCAGGCACCTCTATGCGGCAGCAGTACGTAGCGCTGTCACCTTGGTTGGTGTTGAGGATGGTCAAGGAGACGTCGCCTCTCCTCATATTCCCCCAAAGCTGGTATCTATTCGACTTCTGGGAGAGCACGCTGGTCCCATCAGTGTGGAGAAGCTCCTCGTTGCACTTGGAGTTGGGACACGAGCCTTTGCCCCAGCACATGCTGTTGCTGGGAGACCATGATGAGTACAGACAGGGCAAAGTCACCATCTGGCCCACGTATCCTGTCACCACAGTCTGTGCTGCAGCTGGTGCTGTGAGGAGGGATGAGACAACCAGGTTGTGTGGAATTCAAGTATCTCAGACATGAGAGTGGTTTTCCAAACAGATGCTTCCAGGAAGATAAGCACATTGACCTACTTTTGCCCCACCCGGTAGTGATACCTCCCCACATGGTACAATAGTATATGTATTTCTTTAGTCTAAATTCTGATGTGTGCTTAATGAGAGCTGAGGCCCTAACTCCACATCCTTCCATCCCCCAAGTGGAGACAGCTGGCCCACCTGAGTGTCTAAACTCATTTCCACAGCAAGACCTTTTGCTGATGTTTCTCTCTCCTCCTCCTCCTCCTCCTCCTCCTCCTCCTCCTCCACCTCCTCCTTCTCCTCCTCCTCCTCCACCTCCTCCTCCTCCTCCACCTCCTCCTCCTCCTCCACCTCCTCCTCCTTTTCCTCTCCCCCCCTTCCTTCCACTCTGACACTGAGTACCATAAGATAAACCAATAGACTCTCCACTGAAAAATCCTGACGCTTTAATTCAATTCTCCTGACTCAGATAAACAGGTCTAAACATAGCTCTCTACCCACTGTATCCCAATAAGCAGTGATTATGTACTATTGACTTGAATATCTTAAATGGGTCTCCCTCTGTCTTCCAACACAGAGCGGACTATGGCATGAAAATGGGCTGCCAAACTACCTGTTTCCCCGAAAATAAGACAATGTCTTATAATAATTTTTGCATCTAAAGATGCGCTAGGTCTCATTTTCAGGGGATGTCTTATTTTTCCATGAAGAAGAATATGGTACACATTTATTGTTAAATGAAAATAAAGGAAATTTATTACCTGTATACGGTACGATAGTACGGTAGTAGTCAACACAAACCAGACAAACTGTGAATCCTACAGTATCAAGAATTTACTCATTTATTCAATGACAATCATGTCATCATCTTCTGGAACATCATCATAACAATCCAATTCCTGAATTTCCTGGTGAATTTCTTGTGACTCCATTTCTTTCAGAATCAGTGGACCAAATCTCTCATGTTTAGACCGGGGGGGGCCTTATTTTGGGGGGATGCCTTATATTTCACTCAGAAGGAAATCTGTAAGTAGGTCTTATTTTCGGAGGATGTCTTATTTTCGGGGAAACATGGTATATACCATTGCCCTCTCCTTTCAGCACCGGAAACACAAAGGAATTGCTCTGGACCATCTATTTGTTGTTAGACAATAGGAGGTTAGGTGGTGTTTGAGGGTTTTTTGTTGTTTTTTTTTTTTTAATGTTAGAACTGAGTGAAGCAGGCCCCAGGAATTAGAATGCGAGCTGTGGCATACAAAAACGCTGACAATATCCCTTATATGGAAGTATCACTGCCAGGTGGGGCATAAGTACAATAGGTCTACAGTTGTGAGCACGTGAAACACAGAATTTGTTCTTGTATTTTTATCTATTAATTATTGTATTATTTTTCATGTGAACAATTGTAAACCTACTTGTGCCCCACTCTAGTTTTAAGATGAAGCGTCCACTTTTTCCAACTTTGGCTGCTCATCAGCATGACCCGGGGAGATTGTTAAAACCAGATATTTTATTGACCAGCCCTGAGTCAGAATCTCTGAGGCCAAAGCCCCTGGAAATGTACATAACCAAACCCTTCAGGTCATTCTGATATCATTGGCCACTCCCCCAGTGTGTGGGGACCAACTGGACAGGCTCTTTGAAGATCACATCCCTTTCTGAGAATCTGGGAAACATTCTCACTGCTGCCAGCCCACTGGTTTAGTTGAGCATCAGTACTTGTTCTAAACAACAACAGAAAAGCTACTGAAGTGAGAGCGAGGCAGGCTGAAGCTCCAGACTACATCCCAGGCGCCATGTTCCTGCTTCCTGTTTTCCTCAAGGAACCTCCTTGGCCCATGAGACCCCATTCACTAACTGTGTTGACCCACTTGGCTAAGTTGTATAAGACATGGCCCACAGGCCTTGACCAGGTGTTAGAAGCGCTTATCCCTCTCTAGGGGAAGGTGAGCATCAACTCTAAAAGGCACCCAGAGAGGAAGCCAAAGGACGTACTGCTCAGGCTTTCCACAGTTGACTCCCCTGATGAAGGTCATTCCAAACACATAGCAGCCAGAGCTCTCCCTGCACTCACAGCCTCTTCACTTTGCTGCAGTGAAAATGTCTCACGGACTATAAATGCTGTAGAAGTCCACTCTGCCCACCGTAAACCCAGGAGGAAAGATAAGAAATGTATCATCATCACCCTCGGCTGTGTGAGCAACACAGAACACGTGTGCCTAAAACAAATAACTTCTAAAACACAGGCTAGCTCTTATTTACATTGGGAGAATTACTTTTAAAATAGATTAGAATTATTTCTACTGGAGAGTCATCAGTTTCTTTTCCCAAGTACTACAGCACCACAGGAAGCATCCTACTTCGTAAGACCCAAAAGAAGAACTAAAAAAGAACATAACAGGCAATTCATAGATGAGGCGATAGGAGTGGCTAGTAAATTTCACCTATTTGGCCAAAACTTAGAATGCTGAGAGTAGCAATTTTTGGCCAACAGGGATCTAGGAAAAGATAGCCTACCAGAGTCAACTACACTGAAATAGGGTAAGAATTGGTATAGCCACAATGTGGGACAATTTAACAGTTTCTATTAATACTCAACGTGGACATGTGCATTCTAAACCTTAGCAATTCTGCGTTTTATTTATCCTAGAAAAACACACATGCACAAGAAAACCTAATAGCAAATGTTTACTGCAGCCTTCACATACATGTGAATGGAGTGAACAATGTGTATGTGTGCATGGCAAAACAGGAGCATTCATTCCATGGAATCATGCATAGAAGATTATTAGAATTAGATAGACTTATGCCAGTTAGCATGATACCTCGGTCTTATGAAAGTATGAAAAGGGCAAATTTTAATATAACACACACAATATAAAAACCATTTATAAAATAAATAAATAAATAAATAAGAGTTCACATTGTGTATGTGCATGTGGGAGTGGGGGTATAGATATATGAAGCTAAATGCATAGAAAAGTGTCTGGTGGGATATACGCCCAACTCATTGTGTTGGTCATCTCCATGACTGGAAAGGGATGGGGCCTGGCAGTGGTCATCAAAAGGGATTTGGGCTTTATAGCATTATTTTTTTTTTCACCAAGGGTGTTTCTGTATTACTCATCTGATTAAAAATGGATGGTTTTGGAAAGAAAAAAAAAGGGAAGCAGGGAATCAGGCCTTTTGGCATGGCAGAAAACAGCCATTGGGCACACATTGTAAACCTCTTGTGCCAGTTGGTGCCTTTGTGATCTTGGAGGAAAGCCACTGTAATCCTAACCTCATTGTCATTGTAAAATAAAGGGGATAATGACTTTCCCCAGAAAGAGTTTCTAAGGTTCACATGAGACGAAATATCAGTGCCATGTGGAATTAATAAAGTAACCAAACATGGGAGATTTAGAAATAGGACCAAAAAACCCTGTTTTTTCCAGTTACAAAAGTATCCTGGAGCAGAGGAATTGTTTGTATCAAATCAATTCCACTTTTCTGGAGCTACCCAGGATGGTGTGGGGACAACTGGGTTCTGGTGCCACTGGTGTTGCCCCCAGCTGGTGACCCCAAGAAAAGCCCTTTCCCTACCCGGGGCTCAGTTCCACCATCTGCAGACTGGACTTTGTGATTCGGCATCTTCTAAGGACATGCGCAGCTTTGATGGATTCTCGGTGACTGAACAGTCACTCTCTTCCAATTTGGTCATTTTAGAAAAGACCCAAATGAAAAAAAAAGAGAGAAAGTTTACCAGCTCTTTCAAACAGGGTTAAAGAAACCCACCCCAGCTCAACCAACAGCTCAGCAACCAGCCAGTAGCTGGCAATGCGGACTTAGACCCCGGCAACTTTCAGCATAAAAAAATCAAGTTCCCAGAACAAGATAAAGACCATTGAAAACACTGATTTAAAAAAAAAAAAAAAAAAAAAAAGCAGACATGGGTTGCTTTTATTCCATTAACTGCCACAGCATATCTGAGGAGATAAGCAGGTCAGTGACCTGTTCTCTGATGGGGGCACGGGTGAGGTGGGGGGGACGAGGGGGAGCGCTCACTGAACTCCAGGGAGGACAGGAACTCATAGCAGAAATTCCTGAATCAGTCCAGAGCATTCAGGAAAAGCCCACCTTAGGAGGAGACCTGAGGACCCATGAACTTGCAGAAGACAGAGAGACAGAGAGAACTGCATGGCACAGGCTGGAGAGGTAAAGGAAACACCTTTGCTGTCCTTGAAAGACTCATAGGCAAACAACTACCAAACTTTTAAAACTGCAAGAGACACTACATATTGCCTAGTTCTAGAATCACAGATGGTGAAAACTGGTTTTCACCAGTCTCACACAGGGAAGAGCCAGGGCTCAATAACCATGTTCCCAGTGCCAACTGTTGTGAGCAGACAGGACTCCGGCATTTGCCCTCTGCCACCAGGATGCACTGGTCTCAGCCCAGGGTGTGCCTCCGCATCATCCAAAACCTGGGAGCAATGTGCCAGAAGAAACCTCTCCTTGAAACTCCTGCCTGGAGTTTAATTAAATTAAGCTTAATTTCTGGCAAATTAAACTAGAAAGTATACTCAAGCTAACAATAAAGCGAAAAGAAAGAATTACAACAAGAGCCCTTCCCAGAGCAAATTGCCATCAATCTGACTGCACTGGTAACATCTGCAGAGGACATGTCTTTTCCCCATTTCATCTGACCCCTTACTTCTGTGTTTCTTCTTCAATTGCCATTTCTGATATGAACACAAATGATCCCAAGCTGAAACTCCCAAAGTGGTTTCAGGATAAAACTTTGTATAACAGCAAGAGGAGAGACCATCCAAAGAAAAACCCTGGAGTGGGGTGGGGGCAGGAATGAGGTGGGCTTCTGCTCCCTGAAGCCCACCAGCCAAGGAGCCCCACCTCAGGGTGCGGAGCCCCCCACCGCATGGCAGGTCAGACACTTACTCAAATAAAGCCACCACAGCTCCCTCAGCAGCCAGAGGACGACAGGCCCTCTGGACATTGTGACTGTCAGCCGACCCCAGGAGTCTGTCTGTCTGCCCAAACTTCATTTCTTATACTCCAGTTAATGCTGACAGGGCGGGACCTTTTCGTTTTCATTTCTTCTTTTTTTGGCTCAAAGCCTTCCCTTTCCCCATCCTGAATGGCCTTCCTGGATCTGGGATGCATGATGAAATGCATTGAGCACTTTTCTCTTAGACACTGCGGGAAGTGTGTGCACAAATGTTGGGTGGGGGTGGTGATGGCATGTGCGAACGTGTACATAATCTTTTGTTTTAGAAATAAAACTATCAATAACCATGTTTCTATCTAGAAGGGTCACACACTGGAGAAAGACTAAGCTCAGTTTTCTTCTCTTTCTAAGTTAGAATCCATGGACAGGCTTCACGGAATTCACAAACATCCTCCACTTGCATTACTGCATTAAATCACAGTGTTCTTGAGAGGGAGGTCACAACAGTTCTAGGTATTTCATGTCTTTGCCACCTTCATTTTTTGCACAGGGGGGCTTGCCGTTGTCAAGCCAGGCCTCCCTCACTATTAGTCAGTACATCTCAAGTTATCCTGTTTCCCCGAAAATAAGGCAGTGTCTTATAATAATTTTTGCATCTAAAGATGCGCTAGGTCTTATTTTCAGGGGATGTCTTATTTTTCCGTGAAGAAGAATACGGTACACATTTATTGTTAAATGAAAATAAAGGAAATTTTCGTATACGGTACGATAGTACGGTAGTAGTCAACACAAACCAGACAAACTGTGAATCCTACAGTATCAAGAATTTACTCATTTATTCAATGACAATCATGTCATCATCTTCTGGAACATCATCATAACAATCCAATTCCTGAATTTCCTGGTGAATTTCTTGTGACTCCATTTCTTTCAGAATCAGTGGGCCAAATCTCTCATGTTTAGCCGGGGGGGGGGGGGGGCGGCTTATTTTGGGGGGTTGCCTTATATTTCACTCAGAAGGAAACCTGTAAGTAGGTCTTATTTTCAGAGGATGTCTTATTTTCGGGGAAACATGGTATGTAATTTCATTTATGGCCATGGCATTTGGCTCAAAGATGGACAAGTGACCCAAAGCGAAAGGTAGGTAATCTCGGCTTATCTATTAGGACTTTTGAGAGTCAGGGACGCTCTCTATTTTCCAATGGTCTTTGAACTGTGAGGAAACGAGGGTGAATCCAATGTTAGCATGTCAGCCATCCCACCACCAGTAGGTGAAACTAGAAGGCAAGTGGAGAAATAGAGAAGCCTGAGTCTTTGACCTGGTTTGAGCTCCTGAAACAAGACACACCAATGCATGCCAATAAACTCTCTATGAGGCTTCAGCCAACTTGTGTTGGGTTTTCTGTCATTTGGAATTTAAATACTCTGATTTCTTAAACCTAGAAGGACTTCTACACAGTAGCAAATTAGCTGATGACTGAAATGTTTCCCCTTCTGAGTTTACAACTATTAACTGGTCCAACTACCTGCTTCATCAAACACCAGCTTCACCCAGACCATTAATTATTTGTCTACCTATTATACAAGTACTTGTCTACCCATTATGCTCTATGGCAATGATTTCCTTTTTTTTTTTTAATAAATTTTTATTGTTCATATTATTACAAATGTTCCTTTCCCCCCCCTTCTCACCCCACCCTCTGCCCTTTCCCCACCCCCCATTGTCCTCATCCATAGGTGTACAGTTTATGTTCAGTCTCTTCCCACATCCCCCTCTCCCCTTTTCCCCAAGAATAAACAGTTCACTCCCCTTCCATACCTCTGATTCTATTATATTCAACAGTTAATATTGTTCCTCAGATTTTTTTTTTTTTTTTAGTTTCCTTGGTTTTTAGATTCACTTGTTGATAGTTACGTATTTGTTGTTCATAATTTTTATCTTTATTTACTTTCTCTTCTGAAAGAACCCCCTTCAGCAATTCAAATAATTCTGGTTTGGTGGTGATGAACTCCTTTAGCTTTTTTTTATTAGTGAAGCTCTTTATCTGACCTTTGAATCTGAGTGATAGCTTTGCTGGATAGATTATCTTTGGCTGTAGGTTCTTGCTATTCATCACCTTGAATATTTCTTGCCATTCCCGTCTGGCCTGCATGGTTTCTGTTGAGAAATCAGCTGACAATTTTATAGGTGCTCCTTTATAGGTAACTACCTTCTTTGCTCTTGCTTCTTTTAATATTCTCTCTTTGTCTTTTGCTCTTGGAATCTTAATTATGATTTGTCTTGGTGTGGTCCTCTTTGTATTCCTTTTGTTTGGAGTTCTGTGCGCTTCCTGGACTTGTAAGTCTAATTCTTTCACCAGGTGGGGAAAGTTTTCTGTCACTATTTCTTTCAGTATGTTTTCGATATCTTGCGCTCTCTCTCATCTTCTGGGACCCCCATAATTCTGATGTTGGTTCGCTTGAAGTTGTCCCAGAGGTTTCTTACATTATCTTCAACTTTCTGGATTCTCTGGCCTTCTTGCATCTGTGGAGGAGTGTCTTCTGGCTCTTTATGTTCCAAATCTTTGACTTGATTCTTACGATCTTCCATTCTGTTTTTAGGACTCCATAAAATATTTTTTATTTCAGACAATGTATTCTTTATTTCTTGTTGATCCCTTATTATTTCTAGTTGATCCCTTTTCATATCCTCATAGGTCTTGTTTATTTTATCGGCCCTTTCTAGGAGATTCTTGAACAACCCTTTAAGTGTGGTTTTGAACTCTATATCCAGTCACTTTTTGTCCTCCATTTCTTTCGTTTGTGATCTATTTGGTTTAGGCATTTTCGCAGGCAGCTTTCCTGATGGGGTGGGGTTTCAGGGTGGAGCCTACAGCCTTGGCTTCCGTCAGCCCTGCCCTATGCGACTCCTGAGACTCAGGGTCCTTCAGTACTTGTTGCGAGCGCCTCTGAGAGAAAGGTGCCCTCGATTTTCGCCTGCTGCCAAACTGTCTATGCTCTCCCCCAATGAGTCCGGTATTGGGGTTCAGTTCAGTTGGTAGTGGGATTGGAGGTGGCATTCAGAGCAGTCTGGAGCCCCTGTCTCCTTCCTGTCAGGGCAATCCCTCGGCACAGCTGGCCCGGCCTTTCTCTGCGCGCAGTGTGCGCGCCTCCAGGACCTCCTTTCGCCGCTTCCCGAGTCCCACCTTACAGCCCGGCTCCCTATAGATGAGCCTGGGTCCCTGGGGTCTGGCCTAGAATTGGGGTTCAGAGCAGTTAGAGCTGGGCCCAGCACAGTCGGAGCTTTTCTCTCCTTCCCGCTTGGGACCACCAGCCAGGCACTCGGCCTCCCTCCTCTCCGGCTCTGTCCTCTCCACGCTCGCCGCATGTCTCCGTACCTTGGGCTTTTACAGCTCCTCCGCGCTTCCTTCTGGTTTTCTCGCTTCTTGTTGTAGAATTTCCAGTCAGTCGACTTTCCTGTAGTTCTGGGTAATGTCCATTTTATATTTTAGTTGTATTTTGTTGAAATTGTTGTGTGCGGCTGCGGCTAGTTGCCTACCCGAGCAGCCATCTTGGATTCTCCTGTTGTCCCCTAAGGCAATGATTTTCAACAGGTGTGCCATGGCACACGGATATGCCACAAGAATTTTTTAAAATACAATACCTGACTTTAGTCAGGGGCACTGACCTCTTTTCCCTTAGATTGTCAAATGGAATAAAAACAACAGCCAGCTGGTGTGAGTGAATCAACATTGTATCTATTTTTTTGTCAGATTAGCAATTATATATTTTTGGTATGCCTCGGAATTTTAGTAATTAGTTTATGTTTGCCATGAGATGAAAATGATTTAAAATCTCTGCTCTAGGCCTGTGGGGTTTCTGCTAGACTCTAGAAACAAAGACAAATGGGCATTCTAACCTTAAGAGCCTGACAGTTCCAAATCTTTAAGCAGAGGGCATATTACCAAGTCTCATTTTAAAGATAAGGCCATAGAAAACCAGAGATAAAAGACATAACATAATAGGAAGAAAACTGAATTCAGGTTTTCTGATAAAGAGTCCTTTGCAGTAACCCGTGCTTCCTTTCTAGTAAATGGGGTTAAATGTGACCCTACTTATTCATTTTTATTTGTTCCTTTCTTCATCAGTTATAGCACAACTATGACCCATGGACCAAATCTATTTTTATAAATCACGTTTTATTGCAACACAGCCATGGCAGGTGTTTACATATTGTCTATGGCTGCTTTTACACTTCAATGGCAGAGTTGTGTAAATGCAAAAAATACTGTATGGGGTTTTTTCTGTGTTTTTTTTTTTTTAATTTCTTTATTGGTTAAAGGATTACATATTTGTCCTCATCCCCCCATTATCTTCCCACTCACCCCCACTCCTGCCCTCACCCCATCTTGTCTGTGTCTACCATGCATGTACTGTATGGTTTTAATAAAAAAAAGTTTCCAATCCCTGAACGATATATTGAGTTCCTGCTGTGTGACATGGTGCTAAGCACTGACACTGCAATATAAGACCAGCCATTCTTGTCCTAAAATGAGCTCACGGGCTAGTGCCTCCTGGTGAGAGAAAAGTGAGTTAACAGACAATACAGCACTTGATAAGATGTGACAGGAAAAAAACAAACACTATGGGAGTGCTGGGGAAAGATCCCTGCCTGGTCTTGAAGATGGAAGAAGAGAGTCAAGGACACTTTTAAGTATAGACCTAAAGGACATTGGTGAAAGTGGAGATGGGGTGGGAAGAATTTCAGACAGAGCACATGGTAGTTCTAATAACAGTGATAACAGTGAGGCATTGTAGACTAAAGGAAGAATTTCACCTTTATAGGTGTTTGTTATAGTATTTAAAAGTAAATGGACCTGCATTACCACCATTAGTCCACCAACCAGATCTGAAATATCATGGCTAGCATGTACCCATAAGGAACAATCTGGCATTGAAATTGGGACTCAAAAGAACTGTTAGCCCAGAAAGGAACTCACTACAGACTAATTTATTTGCCTCTCAGCATAACCATTATGGCTTGTTGCAGTTTAGGTTCTTACAAGGGTATTTCTTGGATCACATGATCTCACACATCTAGAGGAAATAATGAACAACATAAAC